TCTCTCCCTTCTTTTTCATCCAAGTTGAATAAGGACACCACCTACGACTTATTCAAATGGTCACTTCATTTGCACATTATAAACCAAGCAGCTCCACCTAGCACAGTTCACAGTAGGGATCTAGGAAGAAAAACACAAACTAAGGAGAGATAGAAAGTAAAGACAATGTTGAATGCTTTTATTTCACAAAGTTGCTTCTTTATCACATGGGGCCTAGAAGCTGAAAAATAGAATACAAATACTGATATTTATAACAACAACCAATAACATAAGGAACTTCTCTCCATTCAAAATATGACTTTATTCTTCATTATTTAAGTAATTTAGATATCGCTTCTCGGCCTTTTGGCTAAGATCAAGTGTATTTAAGTAATTTAGAGATAGGAATTAAAGCCAATGGTGAAAAGTTGCCAATATTAATTGTATTTGTTAAATGCAATTATTTTATTTTTATACCACTAAAGAACTCATATTAGAGGAAGTGTGCAACAATGAACAAACTCATGGGAAAGAAAGAACTATTTCTTGACTGGGTGCTGTGGTGCACGTCTGCAATCCCAGGACTTTGGGAGGCCAAGGCAGGTAGATCACTTGAGCCCAGGAGTTTGAGACCAGCCTGGCCAACATGGTGAAACCCCATCTCTACTAAAAACAGAAAAACTAGTGCAGCATGGTGGCACACGCCCATAATCCCAGCTATTCAGGAGGCTGAGGCAGGAGAATCGCTTGAACCTGGGAGGCAGAGGTTGAGGTGAGCCAAGATCGCATCACCGCACTCCAGCCTGGGTGACAGAGTGAGACTCCGTCTCAAAAAAAAGGAAAATAAAAGAAAGAAGGAACTGTGTCTTGCCATATCAAGGTCCCTGGACTCCAGAGGGAGGGAGCTGCAGGAGTGCCAGAGCTGAAGGAGTGACTCCTGCAAGCTCTAGGAAGTCAGGGCCCCTGTTTATATTTGCCCCTAGATCCACAGCACACAGCACAGGGCAAGCATTCTTGTCGAGTGGATGGTTGGGTGAGTGTGTGGACCTATCAAGAGCAATGGGAGTAGGAAGCATGACCCACACCAGTAATTTATTCCAAGGTTTTTCTTTCTGCCCAGTTACCAACAAAGCACCAGAAAAGTGGAGTAATAACAGTAGCAGAGCTCTAGGGAGATGGACAAACAGCTTCCTACCTCTCCCTGCTCCTTGTTAGCTCGGGTAACAATGCCCCTCTTTCCTGTTTCTATTTCTGCTTTGTTATCTAATCAGCCTGTCCAAGGACCAGTGCAGCACCTGAGGCATTTCTTCTCTGTCTAGTTGCTCCCAGAGCTGGCAAGAAGAAAGAACCCTTAGACAGGGGAGTGCAGTCAACAGTGTACCTGGCTGCAAGCTTATAAAACTCACAGGATAGATACCCGTGGACATAGGGGTGGAAACGGGCTGGTCATGATGGCTCACGCCTGTAATTCTAGCACGTTGGGTAGTCAAGATGGAAGGATTGCTTGAGGCAAGGAATTTGAGAACAGTTTAGGCAATAAAGTGAGACCCCGTCTCTACAAAAATAAATAATTAGCCAGGTGTGGTGGCACGCACCTATAGTCTCAGCTACTCCGGAAGAAGTCGAGGTGGGAGAATCGCTTTAGCCCAGAAGTTCCAGGTTGCAGTGAGCTATGATCATACCACTGCTCTCCAGCCTGGGCAACGGAGCAAGACCCTCAAAAATAAATAAATAAGGGAACTATAGACACTGGTGACTACTAGAAGAGTGAGGGAGGGAGGGGGACAATGGCTGATAAACTATTTGTTGGGCAGTATGCTCACTACCTCAGTGATGGGATCATTCAGACCCCAAACCTCAACATCACGGCAATATGCCCATGTAACAAACCTACACATGTACCCCCCGAATCTCATATAAAAGCTGAAATTATTAAAAAATAAAACAATAAAACCCACAGTAACATAAGCCTGTTTTCCATATCCTTTGTGTCTTTGCCTATTTCTTCTAACAATGCAGTGCTTACACCCAAGGTGAATGTTATTACCTGACCGAATGCCTTTTACAGGTTTGGTCAGGTGGCCATGGTAAGAAATGGGCACATTCCAATTTGTGTGTCTCCAATACTAATATGTTGACATATCCTTACAATGTATACAAGGTCCATGCTTCATAAGGTTATTTACAACCCATCATATATTCCTAAAACTTAAATCTGAATGTCAATAAACTTTTATTGTGACAATTTCATTACATCTCTAGACTCTTTCAAGACACAGAAATCCTTCAGGGATTATAAATACCAATACTAAGCCAAATTCTCGTCCTATGGAAGCAAAGAGTATCATCAGGACACAATTATTTAGCATTCTAAAGTTTTAGTTCTGAGTCATGGGATAATACTTAAAAAGCATATTTCCCTTTTATGAAACGCTTTGGGACCTCTTCCACGTTTTTTTTTTTCTTTTTCTTTTCTTTCTTTTTTTTTTTTTTTTTTTTTTTTTTTTTTTTTTTTTTTTTTTTTTTTTTTTTTTTTTTTTTTTTTTTGAAACAGAGTCTCACTGTCACTTCACTCAAGCTGGAGTGCAGTAGCCTGATCTTGGCTCACTGCAACCTCTACTTCCCGGACTCAAGTGATTCTCCAGACTCAGCTTTCCAAGTAGCTGGGACTACCGGTGTGAGCCATCGTGCCCAGTGAATTTTTTTTATTTTATATTTTTTATAGAAAAAGGGTGTTGCCATGTTGCCTAGGCTGATCTTGAACTCCCGATCTCAAAGTTATCTTCCTGCCTCAGCCTCCCAAAGTGCTGGGACTACAGGTGTGAGCCACTGTGCCCGGCTGCCACTTTCTATTGAACTTCATGGAACCTTCCCACAATTTCACAAAGAAAGTCTCATAAAGCCCTTATACTCAGAAGTGAAAGTCTAACATAATGATATTTTTAAATTTCACTGGTCATAAGAATATGATTACATAAGTTTAGACAAATATACACATCTGAGTGGCCAATGTCCTAAAAATTAAGATATTGAGCTTTGCTAACAACCTAGAAATTTCCCTCATGTTCCTTTCCAGTTTATCCTCTTACCATAGGCAACCACTGTTGAGATTTCTACCTCTATATATTAGTTTTGCCTATTCTGGGAATTTTACATAAACAGAATCATGCTGTACATTCTCTTTTGTGGTTGTATAAGGGGTTTAAGAGTCATAAAAATGGTTGCAAGATTAGTAGTAGGTCCTTTTTCATTGCTGAATAATATTCCACTGTATTAATTTACCAGTGTATGTATACATTACTAATATGGAAGCTTCTGGTTGGATATATGAAGATACTTCATATTTCCATATATCAAGGTTGGCTATAGATAAAATGTAGCAATTCCTGTTGACCGAGGTCCGTCGTCCACACTTGGCTCTTGCCAAGTCCATGACTAGATAGATAGTCTATGACTATAACCAGAGCTAAGTCTAATTTTTAATCCTTCAGTCCTCAGAGGGATTAAAAAGAGAGCATAGGAAAAACAGACAGTACTTGAGAGTCTGAATCCAAGAAGAAAGTGCAGGGGACAAGAGAGAGGATGTATTAGGAGAGATATCTTCAACATGAACCCAAGCTACTCTGGGTCTTGGCTCCTTTCAAAGATGGTGAAAGACTGAAATAAACGCAGGTCTGCCCCTCACTGTGCTCTTCCTCCTCTCCTAGCTTTTTAAGCCACAGGTTTAAAATCCTTTTTCTGTATAGACAATCCACGTAAAGCCTTTAGGTATTTAAGTAAACCTTACTTGTTTGAATGCTCTGGAAGACAACTCTAGTTCCAATTAGTATGGCAGTGAAGCCAATGGTGTTTATTAAAAAATATTTTGACTCCCTGTTCTTGGACCACGGGAAGCACACATCAAAAGAGCAGGAAGGAAGGTTGGAGAAAATGTTGTAGTTTATTACAATTTCTCTTCATCATACATTTACTGTGTCCACAGGGAAATAATACTCTTGATAGTCTCCACAAAAGTTTCTTTTAGTTATTTGTGATTCCTCCCTCAATGTATTTATAACTTGTTTAGAGAAAACACAGACAAATCTGTGGGAGGATCACCTGAGCCCAGGAATTAGAGACCAGCGTGGGTAACATACTGAGATCCTGTCTCTACACAATATTAAAAAAAAAAAAAAATTGTTAGCCAGGCCTGGTGACACATGCCTGTGGTCCCAGCTACTTGGAAGGCTTGAGGCAGGAGGATCACTTGAGCCCAGGAATTAGAGGCTACAGTGAGCTATGATTCACTGCACTCTAGTCTCGGTAAGAGGGCAAGACCTCATTTCTAAAAAATAAAATGAAACTTTTTAAAACAATTTTTTCTTCTTCTAAGGAGACATAAAAACAAGAACAATAATTTTTCTTACATAATATTTTGATTTGAATATTCTGTAAAATTGTAATCACATTCAATGTCGTTGGGGATAAAGTATTATGTGATGTTATTTCATAATTTTCCTATTTTGAGTCCATTGTACTTTTTACAAGAATATGTCAAGTATTGTCCAGGCTGTTTTATTTCTCTTGAAAAAAACTAGAATTTTTAAATCAAAGCCTTATATGTGTATATTTTAGTATAAACATATAGTTACTAAGATTGTTTTCTCATTCTCATTTCTCAGAATATACTGAATTAAAACCAGATATTCGTGCTGGGAAACAACCAAGGATTCCTTCATCTTAAGTCTTTGTTTCTTGGTCAGATCTGGGGTTCTACCACACGTGCCCAGGAAAACCGCAGTCCATGACTGTCCAGCTTTCTTGGAATGAAATGCCCAGTCTGGAGTTTCCAGCAAGAAAGCACATGTAATCACTGGATAATGTGCTCATAGTGGGGAAAATGTCACTAAAGAGCTTCCCATTTCCCGAGGACAGCCAACCTAGCCCATCTTTCCCCATGTCATGAATCATCGCTATGCTTATGAAGATAAGTCTGAGAATACGAACATTTTATCTTCCATAGAAACACAATATGGACATACTTTTCCATTATGCTTGACTCTGTAACGAAAGCTCTAGGAAGTGAATGTAACATGAAATCATTCCTTCCGCCTTAGCAGACAGATGGAGAGAGACATTCCAGTTCGTTTCCAGCCTTTTGTCTTTGGAGCGTTTTTGGCATTTCCTTCAGGAAACTGGAGGTTGTGACCTAAGGTTTCCTTAGTGAACACATTTCTGTTTCCCACAGTTAACCTTACCCAGAAATGACATCTACTCTATTAGGTGAGGTTTATCTTCATGTTCCAACTGTGTCCTGTGCATACTCAATGACACTTGAAAGCACAAATTCTGAAAGTAGCAATAGGATTAGAGCACCAAACACACGAAAATACTTTAATCCCCCCAAAGATGACAATAATCTCAAACAAGAATTATTACAGTAAGTCTATGATGCTTGCAAAGTGCCTTCTTTTCACTTTGTAGTTGGAAAAATTAATGACTGAGAGTGTTCATGCTTTCAGATACTATGAACTGAAGGTTTTCAGATAAAAGTGTGATACCACTCAGCCCATATTTTACAGCTAGCTATTTCACTGATACTGTATACTTCTATATGGTTCAGAAGATAGGCTGGGAGAAGCCAAGACAGTGTCCTGAAAAAAAAATGATTTAATGTTCATATCCATAACCCCACTTCCCTAGCACGTTGGTGAAAACCAAGAATATATGCTTTTTTGATTGGTTTGAATGATGATTTAGTCTCCTAATTGAGATTTACATCCACATTTTTATGTGTAATTTCTTTAAAAACCCATATTTGATGACAGAAGTATTGTACTTAATTTATTTGGCTTAAATACTATTTAAAGCTCAAACAATTCTACTTACTAGTCAATGTGGTATTCAGAAAGATGGTGGTTTTTATCTCATTCTTTACTACTCTTCAGTGTTAACTTATTGAAGTTTCTCTTCCTGAAAAAGATAGAGTGGTTTCTAAACAAACCACATTTTTTTTTCGCACCCTAGTTAAGGTAATAATCCTTTAAAGAATAACAGAAACCTGTCCTTAACTTTGATACCAAATAACTACATAATCCAATAGAGTGACTCAATAATTATTTTCAAGAATACTCTTCACAAAGGGATCTTTACAAAAATCAGTTTATTAATGTTTAAAAGTTGATAAAGCTATGTGCAAAATGATCCACAAAAGTCAGAAACCTATTAAATACTATTTTTTTTAAAAAAAGACATCTCTTGGTTTAATTGCACTGAAAACCATACTAAAGAGGCAGTAATATATTTTTATTCTTTGTAATGTTTATACATATCTTCAATTACTATCTAATGAATAGCTGGACTGAAAAGTTTCTGGAGTTCCCTACCAGTTAAAGTAATGCTTTTAAGGGCACAAGAGAGTGGTATTTTCTTAAGAAATACACATTCAATGGTGTTAACACAGGTTAGAAAAATCCAATAAAATGACCTCTGCTGAAACAAATACATTCAACAATCATGAAAAGTACTTTTAACACAACAAAATACAACCGTGCTGTTGCTTGAAATGAATCACGCAACATTCAGAAATAAACATCAACAAAAGTGCCAAAGACAGATGTCATATTTGTTAAACTCATTTGCTAATAAATCTCCCTTGGTTTGTGAAAGTTAATCCCATCAGTTTTCACTTTGTTTTGCTTGTCCGTTTTCCCTAGGACACTAAGGATCCTGGCTAATATCATTTAGATAAAGTGGACTTCCTTATGCAGATTTCTGCTGCGATGGATATGAAACGGTAACACACTTCATTGAAAAGATGTTTTTTAAAGAAATCAAAGTGACTTCAACCAAATTCCAAAAAACGGATCCCGCTTACATGGAAACTTTGGCCTCAGCGAAGGACATTGTTTTACATGTCGAAACCCTCTTCGTCTTCCCACAGCCTACGTACTCAACACAGCCTACTTGCTATACATGACCGATCACTCCACAACCCCAGCTCTGGTAACTGTCAGGTAGTTAAAGTATAAAGTAACAGAACTGTGAGGAGGGGTATGAGGGGAAGGGAGGGTGGGATGCGAGATGCGCGGGGCATCCCTAAAGAAGCAGAAGTGCAGACACTCACTTGGGTTTGAAACTGAAGTGAAAGAAAACATCTCCTCAAAAGCTCCAGACAAAGAGACGCTTTCGCATGGAGACATTAGTCTTTGAGGAGGGGCCAGATGAACCCTTTAGGAGCTTGACAATGCTAGACCTTTGGCTCAGTGCAAAATCAAAGCTCCACGAGGGGAGGAAATATATTCCAGGCCGGGACCTGATCTCCACCCTTCCCAGTGCATTGTTCACAGGAACTAACTCTACCCACCAACACCCAGCACCACCAGGCTGCTCGTATTCTGCCCCTTCCTCCCTCTGGCTGGCAGCGGCTTCTCCCTGGCAGCAATTGAAGCCCAGAGATTTTCCTTCCAAACACGGGTGGCGAGCGCCCAAGCAAAGAGCGCTTCCGGTGGGTGGGCAGCTTCCAGTTCTAGGAAGAAGAGTTGACGTTTCCAGAAGACATAATGGTCTCTGGGTTGTCCCCATCGTCCTTCTGGGGGTGGGAGGAGTTGTCTGATTTGCTGCGGCTGAATTCCATGCCGGCGATGATGGGCCGCTTGATTTTGCCAGCAGAGTCTCCGCTCGGGCACTTGCAGCAGGACATGATCCGGATGAAGGCCCGGCGCATCTCCTTGTTGGTCAGAGTGTAAATGATGGGGTTGCTGCCAGAGTTGAGCACAGCTAACACCAGGAAGTACTCCGCTCTGAAGAGGATGTCGCAGGTCTTCACCTTGCAGCCCACATCCAGCAGGAGCAGGATGAAGAGCGGTGCCCAGCAGGCGATGAAGACGCTCAGGACGATGATCACAGTCTTGAGCAGCGCCAGCGACTTCTCGGAGCTGCGGCTGGCCTTGGAAATGTTCTTGCGGAAGGTCAGGCGGCGGCTCCGAGTCCTGACCAAGGAGTAGATCCTGCAGTACAGAATGACGATGGAGAGCAGGAGCAGAGTGAAGACCGTGGTGCAGAAGAGGATATAGTGCTTGTGGTAGAGCGGCAGCACGGTGGAGCAGCTGGGCAGCGTGCTGATGCAGTTCCAGCCCATGATGGGCAGGCCGCCCAGGATGAGGGAGATGACCCAGCAGGCGCTGATCAGCAGGAAGAGGCGGAAATTATTGCTCCCGTTGTGGAGTTTCATCTTCAGCATCGTAATATAGCGCTCAATGGCGATGGCGAGGAGACTGAACACGGAGGCAGACAGGGCCACAAACATACTCCCTTCCCGCAGAAACCACTGGGCAGGGGTGAGCTTGTAGGTGGTGGCCCCAGACAAGAGCAGGTTAGCTGTGTAGGCCACGCCTGCCAACAGGTCTGAGAGGGCCAGATTGCCAATGAAATAGTACATGGGACGGTGAAATTTCTTGGTTTTCCAAATGGTCAGCAAGACGAAGATGTTCTCTAGGATGATAAAGCAGCAGATGAGAATGAACACCACCGAGGTCAGCTTAATGTCCTTGTCCGCGCTGGTATTCAGCTTTCCCGTGTAGTTGTAATGCAGGACGATGATATCATAGTTGACGTAGTCAGAGACCAGGTTGCGGAGGTCCTTGACCTGCGGGACGCTGGTGGACCTCATGGTGCCACCCTGTGTCCCCAGGAAGCCGAGATGGCACTACTCCAGACGAACGCTAGAGGGCGAGGCGAGAGAACCTTCTTCACTCGCTGCAGGGGTGGTTCGATGAGTGATCCAGGCTTTTTGTGTAGCTTTTCCTTGGCTGGAGAGGGCCTCGGAAACCGCAGCCTTAAACAAGTCAGAGGACAGAGTCAGAGAAAGAGCCACAGCATACTGGCATAATTCATTCTAGCTAAGGCACTGCTCCAATTGTGTTACTGTTCATTTGTTTTAAAGAAACTTGGGTCAGGGAGAGGGATTTTTTTTTAATCAAATTATCTTTTTGTCTTCCTTTTTTTGGCAAAAAAGGAAGAGAGGGAAGAAAAAGAGAGGGAGAAACTCTATGGCCACACTCACTCAAAGGGAAATGGGAATTATGATATTGGCTGTGGGTTAACAAAAAAAAGGAAAAAGAGAAAGAAAGAAAAGGAAAACAGGGAGTGGGGAAATGGAAAACCTAGAGGAGCACATCCCATTTTAACTCCACTCCTGCCCTCTCACCACCCCAAACCCGGATTTCCAGCCATGAGATTCTCTGAAGCAGTCACCAGCTCAGCTGCACTCTCAATACCAGCCCACGTCTCTCCTCGGAAAAGACTCAACTGCCAGTCTGAGGGCGGAGACACACACCTCTGTGCCCCATGCCCACCCCCAACCCCCCAGTTCAAAGAGACGAGCACCACCTCCTAATTGCCATGCAAGAAGTTAGATTTGCAGGAAAATCATTTGAAAGCGTAAGTCATTTGGGGGCTCTATTAATAACTCTCTAGGAGCAGGTGTGCTTGGGGTCCGAGGGCGCAGTGAGGTGTGGGCAGCCAGGCCCGCCCCGCCTTGCAGTAAACAGGAAAGCTTAGCGCCTCCGTGAAGCGACAGCCTTTTCTTTCTTCTTCTGCTTCTTCTTCTCCCCGCCTCCCCCGCCCCCACGCCAGGGCAAGTAAATTTAAAGGTATTCAGTTAAAACCATTCATAAGAGATCGCAGCAAATCCCAGAAGTTTCGTACATTAGTTGATTGCATAAATATTTTTCTCTTTGTTTAGTTTAGCCAAAACACACACAAAAGAGAGCGTACTACTCATGACAGCGACAATACATGCTGCCACACTTCTAATTTCGAGTGCAAAACTGCTCTTCAGAAACTCACATTAAACTGCTCCCTGGTGCATTGCTAAATTTGCGTGGGCCGTTTTATTTACTCCAGTCCCCCAACACGTTGCCTCCTCTCCTGGGACTAGAAAGTTACAAAGAAACTAACTTTCTAAGACGACGTTGGTCAGCAGAAGTCTACTTCTAAGTTGCTTGAATATTTCAAGGTAACGCAGCCGTGCAATAAGATGAGGTAATAGAGATGACAGCCAACCCAGCAACTCCGCGAACAGCAGAGGCTGCTCACACCAAGAAGCTCCGCATTTCCCCCAACTAATTTTACACCCTGCTCCTGGGCAGTGCAAGTTTAAGCCATTACCCACGCCCCACATCACCCACCATATTCTTTGTCTACAGGATTTCCAAAATTTTGCTCCTTCCCTTCTACTCCTCCGACCAACTGCAGCTTTCACTGCCCCTACCCCCGTAGGTTCCACAGTTGGGAATTAACCCTTTTTCCAAACTCCATAAATCACCAGTGCCCAAGAACAATCCGATCGAGTTGGGCTCCTTAGTGGCCCATAGAGGCACATTTTCAGCGTCCAGAGATGCATGTCTTCAAAGTTTTTGTTTGCCTCGTTCGGCTTAAAAATTCGTTTCTACACCTAAGCCCTCCCGCAGCTGGGCTCCCGGCGCCCACGTCCCGCGCCGCTCGCCGCCCCCTACCTCGCTCAAGCAGGGCGAAGTTGCGTTCGGAGAGCCCCGGATCGGCGCGGCTGGCTCTGCATCTTGCTGCTGCCCCGACTGACTGCGTCGTGCTCTCGCAAACTTACTCGAGTCGGGGTCTCCTCCCTCCGCAGCAGAGCACTCCAATGGCCAGTCCCGCTCGCCGCGGCCAATTCCCTGCCCGCTAGGCGAAGTCGCCCAGCGCCCTGCCTGCTAGGCGAAGTGGCCCAGCGCGGCGCCAAGGCTGGGTGGCTGCTTCAGGAAGAGGCTGGGAGGGGTTAATGCCTTAACCCCCCACGCCCTCTTGCCAGCTGGGGGCCCCCGGATCTGAACGGCTGAGACGCACTGTCCAGGAAAGATCTGGGGCAGAGGCAGAAAAAGAGAAGAATCCCTCCTCCCCAAACAACAAATGAAAGAGTTTAAAAAAAAAAAAAAAAAAAGAGAGAGAGAGGGAGAGAGAGAGAGATTGAGAGAGAGAAGGGGCGGAGCTTGATCACCCCTGGATTCTAATGTATAAATCACTGCCCTCGCCCAGATACGCGCTGATCCCGGGCGGTGGATTCTCCTGAGCCCTTGGAAAACAAAAACGGAGGTAGAGAGACTTTGGAAACTTTTCTCCCGAAAAGTCTGATCTGGCAGAGGACTGCCCGGCGTCTCGTAGCGCACCGCCCTGGTCCCACACCCCCCGCAGCCCCAGGAGGATCGGTGTGCTGAGCTGGTGGCCGGGAGCTCCCCGGGGCCACTTTCGCGCGGGCAGCGGAAAACCAGAGCAGTGGCCCAGCGAGTCTCGGCGGCGCTCTGGGTAGGAGAGGCTGGGAAGGGGCTGCGAGAGGCATGGAGGAGACAAGCAGCCAGGAGGGAGAATGGACCGGGAAGTTCCTGTACTCCCCCAGTCACCCCAGATCCTGGTGCTCCTCGAAACTGCGGTCTTGGGGAGCAGAAAGTGGCTTTCCCGGAGTGCGCAGAGAAATGAACCAGCGCCGATTTGGGTGTTGGGCGAGGGGTTTCCCTCATTCAGCTGAGCACAAAGTCAGGCTGTGTGTCCCAGATTCTGGCCAATGGAGAGGACTTGGAGGAGGTGGGCTGCTGCCGAGTCCTGAGAGATTAAAAAAGCCGGGGCAGCTCCGGAATTTCCAAAGGTGGAGATTCTCGGCCCGGCGCTGCCGAGCAACTGCAGCTGCCCAGCAGAGGCCGGCACCCTTCTCTCATATTCTACTTGGGAGTCAACTCAGAGACCTCAAATCTCGTGACTAGCACCTTGCTCACCCACCCTTTTCTTTTGCTTAGATGCTTCTTAAGAATGTCAGGCTGAGAGGCGGCCTTGGTAAGATCTGCCTGCGTGACAAGCTCAGGACTCTTCTGCCCTTGTCCTACCGTTGTAAAGGTTTCCACCCAGTCCCTGGTCGCACTGCCTTCCCATCCCGGCAGATGTGAACTCAAAAACTTCCTCCGCTCTGCAGTTTCAATTGGCAGACACACCCTGTACCTGAATGACTCAGAAGGAGGCAGAATGAATAAACAACAGACCCCTGGCTTCTGGGATTTTCTGTTTGCCAAAAAAAAAAAAAAAAAAATGAAGTGACAGTTAACTCACAGCTGCTTTAAAGCCCTCATCAACGGCGACGCCCCCAATACATAGCCACAACTTCAACAACAGGACAGTGCGTACAATGTGGAAACTAAGATAAGGGTCCTCGAAGACTCCAGAATAGATCCTAGTTGGATTTGAGAACGTATTTCACTTAAAGGGGAAGAGATACGTTGCGTCTACCCAGCACAACAAAACGGGGGACTTGGCATTCCCCCCTCACCCGCCCCCACCCACATTAATTTATGCATTCTTTAAAGCCAAAGGAATCAAAGTGAAATTTCACACGTGGTCTGCATCAAGCATGTGCTAGATTAGTTTAACCTTACTGCTCTGTGAAGTAAGCAAGCATTGCTGGCCATTTTATTGTTGCAAGAAGTGTCACTCAGACAACTAGGATGATTTCAGCTGGGTAGATTTCTATCTATCAAATAGGTAGAAATCTATCAACTAGGTAGATTTCCCAGCTAGTGAGTGGCAGAGCTGGGTTCCAAAACCTAAATACTGCAAATGCCTTGTCTTGTGGCTCAAACGCTGTCAGTCAATAAACAGTTAAGGTATTGAAATATGTGTTCCTGGAGGGAAACAGACTTCTAGATTTAAAGTTTTAAATTTGCATGCATTCCTGACTGTACATGTCTACAAAATGCTTATAAAAGTATGCTAATGAATGTCCTTTTAAAACTACTCATTTTGTACATATGCATACAGTGTATACATATGTATATGAAGACATGTCCAAAACCTCTCATTGTCTGTCTATGATAGCTAATGTAAGATTGTACTTTTAATATTTGCACATAGTGTTATGCATATTAATTCATTTAATGCTACAAGTTACATACTATAATTATTATAATTTTACAAACAAGAAAACTGACTCCCAGACATATTAAGCAGCTTGGTTAATGTGGGACAGGCTGCAGGCTCTTAGCCACTACTCCAGACCACTGTGATAAACCTCAAACAGGTCCAAGAATTTCCTTGGGGATATCAGTCGTTTTCTTGTGAAGACCACTGGTTTTTAACATTCAATATTGATACAGTGTTTTACAGAGTCCAAATACTTTGCAGACTGTTATTTAATAATATTCATCTTTAGTACACACCTATGAAATGTAACTTGTAGATGATCTACTCAGGTAAAATTAGGAAGTAGGCAAAACTGTTTCCAGCAATGGCACCTGGCCAATTCCAAGTCTCTAGTTCCCATATCAGCCTCTTTCCACTGCTCTCCAGAGAGTCCGTAAGAATTGCATTCTCAAGCTATCTATCTCCTGACTGCTAGTACAACTCCTTCTCTGCTGCTGCCTAGAAGCCAAGCCCAATGTTCCTACCTTAAGTTTGCTTCATTTCCAATTTCTGATTCCTAAGTGGCTGTGTTGTTCTTTACGCATGCTTTAGTGTTTCTCTTTAAGAGTTTCCAGATAAAATATACCACACAATCTTTGGAGCATACACTAAACAAAAATTTGTCGTTAACCTGCCATTCAAATGTAACTGGGTGAGCCTTTTTTTTTTTTTTTTTTTAGATGGAGTCTCACTCTATTCCCCAGGCTGGAGTGCAGTGGCGCCATCTCAGCTCACCACAATCTCAGCCTCCTGGGTTCAAGTGACTCTCCGGCCTTAGCCTCCCAAGTAGCTGGGATTACAGGCATGCACCACCATGCCTGGCTAATTTTGCAATTTTGTATTTTTAGTAGAGTCAGGGTTTCACCATGTTGGCAAGGCTGGTCTCGAACTCCTGACCTCAGGTGATCCACCTGCTTTGACCTCCCAAAGTGCTAGAATTACAGGTGTGAGCCACTGTGCTCGGCTGTGAGCTACATTTTATATTTGCTAATATGACAACCCTACTCTTTCCTTTTTTTCCTTCTTTTCAGTTGAGACAGGATCTGGCTCTACTGTTGTCATCCAGGCTGGAGTGCAGTGGTGAAATCGTAGCTCACTGCAGCCTTGATCTCCCACAGTCACCACATCCAAATAATAATAATTATTTTTTTTTTTATAGACAGCAGTCTCACTTTGTAGCCCAGGGTGATCTTGAACTCCTGTGCTCAAGTGCTCCTCCACCTTGGCCTCTCAAAGTGCTGGAATTACAAGCCTGAGCGTTACTCTCTTTCCTAATTGTTCCAGTCGCTTTCCAACTCTTTTTTTCTCCCTTCTTCCCTTCCCAACCCAATCACTGGTAAAGATCCAGGCTTTCCCTTAGTTGTCTATTCATAGGAGAATAACTAGCCCTTTAAGTCATGGAAGAAACGGTATGACCATCTCAATTTCCCTCCTCTCCAAGCTCCAGCTTAATAGCAACTTCACTCACCCTTATCTCCTTCCCACCTGTTTCTGAAGTAGAAGCAACTTTACTCCTTTCCAAGGCAAACTCTTGCCCATGTCACCATGCTGCTTCCTCCAAACTTTCTGAGACTTGGCTCAAGTATTCCAATTCTCTCTTGTACTTTCAATTCTTAGCTTCTGAGGACTCTTTACTTTCAACTTACATGAATGTTTATGTGTTTTCTCTACCAAAAACTCTTTCTTCCCTTCATCCTAGGTCCCAATATTGCTTTCTCCTCTTGTTTGCCATTATTCAAAATTAGTGAAACATGACTGAGCCTTGGAAAAGACACTTAAGTTCAGCTTTGATATTGACAGTTCTCAGCTGTGTGACTTTAGGCAATTTCTTTTAACTTCCTTGAACCTCAGCTTCCTCATCTCTAGAATGATATAATGATATTTGCCTCTTTCAGTCATTGTGAGGATTAAGGAGCTACATACCTGTGAGAATTTCCTACACTACAGAGAAGATGCTTCACCCACCTACCACCTCCATCTTTAACTATCTTTATAATCCTTGCTTTCATCAACCCACTTTCCATCTTTTTATTCACTTTGCTTTTAAATTTAAAGTCAAAATAATATGTGCACATCATTTTTAAAAAGATCAAACAGTACAAAATTTGCAAAGTAGAGCATTAGTCCTCAGAGGTTCCCTGGTTCTCCAATCTTTCCAATCACTGTGAAGTCTTGTTGATTTTCTTCTGGTGGCAACTTGCAAAACTCAAAATCTGTTTTATATTTCTATTTCTTCATTATCAATCGTATAACAATATAGATTTTCTGCCATGTTGAAGGAGCATTAATTAACTTGAAGAAGGATGCTTATGTTATAAACTTTCTGAATTCTTGCAGGTCTGACATTTTAAATACTCTGTTCTATACTTGAATAATATTTTGACTGGCTATCAAGTTAAAAGTTTTAAGTAATTTCCCCTGAGAATTTTGAAGGCACTACTCTCTTGTCTTTTAATTTCTAGGGCCACTGATAAAGAGTATAAAACTATTCTGA